AGTCATAAAGACTAGTTATAGGTTTCAATGCTTAAACGAGCTCATTGTAATCCGGAATACTCGTGCTGTAATTGTACCTGATGTTTAATTCTTAATATTTAATACACCGGCACTGCTGGCAGACTACAATGCAATTCTCTCTCTTTTTATGTGATGTGTTCCAGAACATTATTGAAACACTGGTGACGGTAAGCATTGTATCTAAAACTTTATCACTTTCCATCGAATTCATAACTTCAAGTCCCGTTTTTGCTATTAAGGCAAAAATTGCTTCACAAACTTTATTACAAAGTTCACAATACAGGACGGTGAACAGGAGTCATAGGTAGCATAACAAACGCAAAAAGTTTGATGGAATTTCATGTTAAACTATATACCGATATCACCAGTAACTCCTGAAGTAATTTCGTTTGACTTTTCTCAAGATGATACAAAACAGTATAATGCTTCGCAACCAAGACTCTAGCTTGATTCAGAACTTTATTTGCATTGCAAAAGAGAAGTTTTCGGTATAGATATTTCAAATAATATTCCTTAAGATTTGTTAAATTTCGCCAGAAGCCTACTAGCTAAGACCCCAGTTATATTTTTAGCGGGATATTGAAGTAAATGTATGGATTGAGATTTAATTAGTTTCATTGAGTACGCCATTTCATTGAGTACTTGTGTAAAATGTAATAGTGATTTATTGCTTGTAAAAGATAGATATCAATATAAATTCGGTGATAAATAAATACAAAAAACATGGCGTCATTATTGATAACAGTGTAAATTAATTATCAAAATTCATTAAAATTAATCCTTTGAAGATAACTTACTATTATGGGAATAATTTGTTTTTATTAAAAAAGCTCTCTGGAGTATTTCGCCAATAATTAAAACCATCAAAAACGTTGCTTCCTATTTGTATACGCAAATGAATCGAATTTTTAATTCTGAATATTATTGATCTCATCATCATAGTGCAGACAACGAGAAAATTATCAATCGTAATGCATGATCGGACGATTCATGATCAGTGGAACCGTGAGGGTAAAATTTTGATTTGCGTTAGATGTTGTCCGAGGTGTATATATACTCATGATATACAACGATAAATTTAATATCAGAAAAGGTTACATAATGATAGAAAATAGTTAACACAATGACCTGGAATATCTGTTTTCGTCATGTATTTTTTCCTGCAAAATGGCAAGAGCTTCAAAATTTATTTGATTTTAGGCATCTTGGTTCGTAAAGCGGACTATCAATTCTCTTCTTTTTCTTTCATTTGAGAAATTTAATATCATAACCAGGGGACTGAATGGACAACTGAGTCCAAGAATTTGCTCTTATGTTACAAAATCTCTTTTAATAATGTAAGAGAAAAATATCGAAACAAGAACCTTTTTTGGAGACTGCACGAGCCAAGGAAATCCGTGGGCATTCATTCAAGTTGGGTCAATTTTCTCGCAGGCGTAAAGTTGGACGAGAAAAACACTCATGTTGTCTGGGGCTCGGAGGCAAACTCTATTCTTATTCACTTGCAGGGTATTTATACAAACCTGGGCTGTTTACAGAGTTTGAAATGTTCATTCTTATGAAGTCGTGTCTGCATGAGCAGACAAACAGATTCCCTGAGATTGCTCACAAATTAAATGATGTGTAGGTAATTTTCGAGTGATTTTTAATACGGAGCCATGTAAAATATAACAGCTAATTTATCACTGTTATTCACTATGTCGTATAATGAGAAAAGCAGCCGGGTTGTAGTGTAGAACTCGGATATTTTTGTGTTTTACAGTAAATACCGCCGGTCTCACGCCAGCCTTATTTCTCATAAAGATTTTGTACCGCTTCTCTATTCTAGATTTTCAAGCAAATAAAATAGTATCTGTCAGAATATCTCTTTGACAAAAGTATTGATTTGTTCAACTATCGCATTTATCGTTGGCTGACGTTGCGTTCTCTGTCAGCCGCGGTTTGATCTGAGAAATAATTATTTAGTTACACTTGTGCAGAGCTCGAAAGCAAGTTTTGTGTTGCAATGCTGCTCTTGCCACAGGATCTTCGGGAGACTCGGTGGCTCTGTTCTCAACCTGAATGAAGAGTTTCAGCTATTCCATGTCCTACGTATCAATGAACCACTAGAACGAACGGCCCCACTATACAGGTATTAATGAGTGTTCATTGATTCCAGTATCTGTATTTAGGTATCAATGACCCAATATCCAGTGGCTCACGCAGCTTGCCAATGAAGTAAATACAGCAGGCAACCGGGAATTCTTTCAGTTATGAGTCACCACAAAACTCTCAATTTTCAGATTATATGTATTGACTTGGTCTGCCTAATTGCATAATTTTTAAGTTAGTTAAACCGTTGTTTAATTGCATTCAGAACAAATAATTTCCAAACAGACCGGTCTCGACTGGCGGTTGTCACTTTGGACAATTATTCTGCGAATTTCGGTCATCGTCGCATGAATTTTGTGTTTGGAGACGATAATCACCAGCACCAAGAACGTTTTTATTGAAAATGAAATTTAAAAGTCTCCTTGGACGCTCTGTGCTGCTGCTTAGGGAGATTACACGCATATAAAAAAAAATAAATGGGTAATATTGTCCAAAACGTGGCAAATTCTCTTACAAATAGCACGAGTTGGGAGTGGATTTGGCACGCATCATTTGCCGATGACCCACAACAGTGCAGAACGTACTTTATTATTTAGAAAAGGACTCATTTCTCTGCATGAATGGTGCAGTTATTTTTGTTTTGTTTGGTGGAACAGCTGGCGTCTTCCCAGACGGTGTTGCTGAAAGCACAAAACTATATTTTAGTCACTTAAAGATATCGGGAATTTGGAATCGATTGAAGAACTCTTTTTAGATGGAAAGATCAAAGATCGTGGGGTTTTCGTGATATTGTTTAATCGAATAAATTCAACATAAAGTAATTCATCATTAGGAAAAATATAAAACATTATTTGTGGGCTTAGAGTTGTTTAAATAATTCTAGTGATGTATGTGATTATCATGAATATTGCAATAGATAGTTATCACTTGTTGATGTAATTAATTACCTTTATCCCTCAAAGGTCCCAAAATGTTATTTCATTATAAACTTCCATCTGAACCCCTTGCATCTTCAGCATTTTCAAAATTGAAAATCATACATTAAATGTCAACGGATCAGCGCAAAAATATTTTACCAAAAGCATGGAAATGAATTTGTTAGTATTCCATATATCCTGTCTCATCATGATCATGGATTCTCATAGGCGCGTTCTAGCTTTGCTATATGCAAAAAATATATATATTTTATTATCAATAAGCATCAAGCGTCTCATATCATGAGTTCAGCCCATTCCAATATAAAGAAAGTAGCCTGAACTATCAAACCTAGAATTTGCCACTGTACCTCATCAGGCATTGAAATGTATTCCAATATGTGGAGAGACAGGAACGAAGTCCTGGCCTCAATTCCCGCAGAGTTACCCGATCTTTGGCTGCTTTTAGCGCGGGGTGCTGGTCGTATGATGCCTAACATCATCATAATAGGCGAATAAAAACTCTTTGATATCCAGAACTTCGCCCTCAAAGGATATTATCTAGGCGCTGATTAATTCATTTCAAAACCAAATAACACAAAATATACAAATACAAAGTAAAAGTTTTTTTTCGGAAATTCTATGTGGAAAAATATTAGACGTGTACCCTCAGTACGCAAAGCATGAATTATAGACGATAGATTTATCGCATACCAAGTTTTCCAATTGAAATTTCGACGCTGCATATCCAAACATTGGAAAATAGATGCGGATGCAAATCGCTATCAGGCTTAAGGATGACTCTCAGCGCCATTCATTCGTTTGGTGTGCAAATAAATTTTTGATTAATTCTCGGAAAAGTCTATGGAAGTCCCCTTATCCTTTCTGTCATGTGAGTAATTTCATTAATACTCACTCGGCCTCACTGAAATCCCAGTGACATGAATCAATCAAAAAGATAATTTAGTCCCCTATCGAGCAAACCAGGTGTTGATAGTCCCCTAACCGAAGACATTTTAGGCGTTAATAATCAAGTCACTAACAAGGCACAAGCATCAAAGTTAATTAAGTTATGAAAGATGGCACAAGAATAATAATTAGATTTCAAGTCACTCACTCAGCGGCAGCACACACCAGTTTAAGCATTTATCCCGCCTTGCTAGAGTTTGCAGAGATATCATACTGTACACTTGGAAGATGATAACTGGACTGGCTCCCAACTTTGAGAGTGAGACCTCCAGAATAGTGACACCTTACAACGAAAGGAGGGGGAGACTGTGCAGGGTTCCCCCATTTAATAACCGAACCGTGGCCAGAGTACAGACTCTTCGTGAGGGATCACTGTCCGTGGTAGGACCGAAGCTGTTCAATGCCTTACCAAAAGCGCTGAGAGGAGGGGAGTTTACCCTTGCAACATTCAAGAGACGACTGGACAAGTGGCTGAGAAAGATGCGGCATTGTCCAGTAACGGGAAACCACCCTCAGCAAGTGACAAGCAACAGCATCTTGCATCAGCTGGCCCAAAGGAGGGCAAATAGACGGGAACACGTCCAACGTTACCTCCGGAACCCGAGGGCGGGGTGACCTGCCTAGCGACGAAGACGGGCGGGTGGACGACGAGTCCTAACGCTGCCTAGTCCCCGGTCAGCGTGACCGGGGACTAGGCAGTCCCAAACTTATCATAAGGTCATAAGGAGCTGCCCGGCGTCATCGGCTGTATTAATCGTACCAGTATACGTTTTATTCTCGCGCCACCCACCGATCGTCAGCGGAGGTGTTAAGCGCACCATTATATGCATTTCAATATGCATTTACTCTCGCGCCACCTACCGGGCGTCAGCGGAGATGTTAAGCGTACCATTATATGTTTTATTCTCTGGCCACTCACCGGGCGGCAGGTGAGGTGTTAGGCGCACCATTATATGTTTAATTCTCTCGCCACCCACCGGGCGTCAGCGTGTGTTAAGCGCACCATTATATGTTTAATTCTCTCGCCACCCACCGGGCGTCAGCGGAGGTGTTAAGCAAGGTGCCGTTGACGCTCCAGACGACAGGCGGAGGGTGGGGCGGCGCCAGCAGCCAGCAGGACAGCAGCAGGCGAGACCCAGCGTGCAGGTAAACTTCGCGCGGACCGCTGATGCGCGGAAGCCCGTCTGAGGCAAGGCACGAATGTGCATAATTATTAACTATTGATGATAATTACGTTTAATTATGGAACTTAAAGCGGTCATTTGACAGTAGCAAAAAATTTTCAAGCTAGGAAGTAGATTTACCATAATTTCAAATGAATAAAAAAAAGTGAATAGAGGATTAGAAAAATAATGTATTGAGGTTAGAAAAATAATGTATTGAGGTCAATGTTATTATGATTAAATATATTAAATGTTAGTATGAATGAAGTATACATTGAAATTGGAGCGGTAAACAAATGTATTAATTAAATACAGGAAGCATAGAAAATTAGAAAGTTCAAAACAAAAAATTTAAATTACGTTTCAGAATATTAGTTTATGGACAAAATTCGACATTTTCGGGTTAATTGACACGCTTATTCTGTATTGGAGTAAGTATTAATCTGCACTATGGTCCTCTTATCCAGCCCTGATTAAGAAATTTAAGCGAAAAAATGTCTACGTCAAACGTAAACTTGTGATTCAATTTCAACATTCATTGGTGCACAGCACAAAATGATCACTTAAAAAACTTGGCGATTGCAACACGAATCAAATAAGGTTGATGCAGAATACTTGACTAATAATATGCTTTTATTATCAAAAGCGACTAAATGTAAACAAAAACACCCATAATGAATGGACCAAAATTGCGAAGAAAAATTATTTATTTAAAAAAAAGGAATAAACGTAACGGTGATCATGAGTTATTAGAGCTGACTTATGACTTAATAAATCAAATGTTTCCAAGTAACGCGTAGATTAGTTGTTCTTAAATCTGAGGTAGGACATTTTATGAAATTAGCATTTAATTGAACGTCAGTATTACCACAGTATCAATATATCATTTATTATTATGTAAAACATAATTAATAACATAATTAAAAAACCCACCGGCAACGGAGAGTGTGACGGCGTGTACGAGCGTAGGGCGCGTGTTGATCTGGCAGAGATACACGCCCGTATCATCCTGGGACACGTCCCGTATACGCAAGTCCCAGGAGCCCAGAGACCCCGTGTGCACGGAGTTGGGGGACGGGTGGGTGCTCTTGATCTTGTGGGATCATAAAATAATAGTAATATTTCAATACTAGAGTAAATATAGATATAAAATTACTGAAATTAAAATACAATAGTTATATTACATAATACAATAAAATTAGTAATAGTTAGACAATATAGTTTTGGCTACCGGGTGTGAGATAAGTTCAAAATGATTTACAGGGTGATTCACGTAAACTTCCTGTTTTGCATTTCGCGCCAAGCAGCCGGATGCACAAAAAGGGCTGGTAGTATCTCATATGAAAGGTAAGGTCATGAAGTTTTGTTCCGAGCATTGTCAGTTGCCACTATGCATTGGACAAGTGAGCAGCGTGCGTTTGCTGTCGAGGCGTACTTTTGGAATGGTTGTTCCATTATCGCGTACTCGCGGAGCATTCCGTATTCGGTTCCGTATTCGTACTTCAGGTAGGGTTCCTGAACGGAACACACTTAGGGACGCAACACATAACTTGCCCAATTGTGTTCAAGTGGGTGAACACATTTAGGGCAAGTTATCTTACTTTAATTGTTTACAATGACTGTCCAAGGACCCTACCTCCTCTGAAGAACAACATACGCCAAGTCATCGCCAACATACCCGTCAATATGCTTCAGCGAGTTGAACGGAATTTCAAAAATCAACTAACTGAATGCATCGACTAAAGTGGCCGTCAATTGTCCCATGTCATCTTTAAAACTAAGTGGTACCAAAAATCAAGCAATGTCTTTTTCTGCAAAATTTATATTGTAGATATCTATACAAGTTCTTTTTTTTAATGAGCTTTTAAATCAGGAATTAAGCTTCCGCGATGTTGTAACAAATTACTAGTTACTCTGGGCTAGTTACACGAGACTGTCCCATTAGTGGTGCACTTTTTTTTATTGAGTGTTTCATCGTGACCAGTTTAGCTCGATAAAAGGACGTATCAGTGATACTTGCAGGAAGTGTGGCACAATTTGAATGAGATGGCCCCCAGGAAATGTTGTACAGATAATGAAATGTTACATTGATGATGATGATATGCATATGCTACATTGAAGATGATATGTAACAATGCGCGTGAAATGCTATATCATTTGGTCCCATCATTTGCCTTTGGAAATAAAATATTGATTACAATGAAACCGGGGGTTACCATGATCTTCCATCCACAAATAAAATCTATATTTTTTCAATCTTGTTCATTTAATTTCCAACACCAATTAATTTTCTTATTTTGATTATACCAATTTTAGGACCCATAGTCCGCAGTATCCTTTAGCAGTCTGCCTACTTTAAGTTGATGGCTTGCATTAAGATGACCTAATAGTTGGGCGAGTGCGTATGTAGGGCTATTTTTACTAGCACAATATTGGGATTGTAAATAACTACTAGGACAATAATTGTAAATGTGTTTCCTTTGGTTGAGTGCTGGATGTTCAATCCATATTATTTCACTATTGAAGCTTTATCACTGTCTGTCAGCTAGAATTAACTCTCTTGCACTTAACGCTAGTCAGCCTCAGACCCCCAACCAGTTTTTCCACTTCATTATAATAATTATTGGTTCACATGAATTACTGTTCATTCCTTTAATTCTAAACAAGTGTTTATTTATTATAATTTTCGGTCAGTTCCTATTATTCCTATTTCATTATGAATATTCCGTACTGAGTTTGCGTGGCTAAATTTGGATTTGGCCTAGAACTATTGTGTTCATTTCTATGAATTGATTCAACGCGCCGACAACAACAATAAGAAATCGGGTGAGTCGAAAGACGAAATATATATAGAATCTAATCGAGAGATGGAATCTGATTTTTTTATCCCACGATATGGTCAAGTGAGAGAAATCGTGATACAAATAATACAGACCCTCATTTTTACCCTCTAATGAGCAAGGATATTAGATAGGATAATTTATAAAAGGAAATTATCTTATTTTCGGTACAAATTTGTTTCTCAATACCGAGAATCTCGAGTCTGAAGTGAAGGTGAAGACGTCGAGAGTGAGAACTTGCAGGTCCGCCTGGCGTATCCAGGATACCTGAGAAGCATAAATTGTAAAAATTATTAAAATTTAATTTAATTTATTTAAAAAAGTAATTAATAAAAATGAAAATAAATAGTTCAATATATAATCGAATTAATTAATTGAATTCACTAATTCAGAAATTAAATGGAAAATTGATTGAATTAAATAAATTCAAAATCGAATTGCTAATAAACATCGAAGGAAATATTATCAATAATAATAGAAATGTTATGATATACAACACAACTAGAATAATTTTTTCATCACACAATTTTGCTGAAACACAATTAAAAGTTTCTTTTTATGCAGAAGATTCTAGATAAAATTATAAATTTGGGTAAAAAATGAACTTTTGAATGCTTTATTATACAATTTTATTAATTAATTAATATTAATTAATTAATTGAATGAATTTTCATCCATTAAGATTGTTGTATAAATCGTATACTATACCGTTACATATATAAGTAAGCACAAATAGTAATTACATTTGCCGGTCTCAACAGACCGATACAAGTTTAATAAAACTTCCTAATTTAGCGAAATTATACACCAAATTTAAAGTGACCCTGTTTAAAGTAAAACAATCACAAACTGATTATATTTCTGCATTAATAACAATATAATCAGTTTTACCGAAACAAATATACCACTAAATAAAATAAGTAAATACTCGATTTAGAATTTGAAGCATTGTAGCATTGTTGGTGTTTAAGCATTGTTGGTGAGATGCATTTTCAACTCTTGTTTAAATTCAACATTAGAAGTTAATATGTCTTGAAAAACTTGATAGGTAACAATTAGATACTTAATGGTCCCAAAATCAATATAGTTATCCCATTAACACATGATTCAAAGAAATTTAATATACTAATTGAGATTAAATGTTTTATGTAACGGTGCACTCATTTATTGAACATCACATGCTTATTTATGCAACTGTAAAACAATCGATCGAACATCAATTAATACATAAAAAGGTATTTTTAATTTACAGGTAAATAACTGCTTTGTGAGACGTGCATACTACCGATTGAACAATAAATGTTTCAAGCACCTTCCAATAGATAAAAAAAGGTTTAAGTGATTTACAAAGAATTAAATGATTTACGTAACATTCCAGTAGATTAAAAAAACATTACATTAGGTTCCCTTAAAATTTTAATAGTTCATCGAACATAAAATTGTTTTTGAAACGTTAAGTTTTTATCAGACACTACGAGGTACATAGTACAAACATAGCGTCAATTAATACATAAAATATAATGTATGATCACCAATTAGTACATAAATTTCGAACGTAAATTTTTTTGAACGCTAAAAGTTTCTATCAGGCACTAGAAGCTACATAGCATAAAAATAACGTCAATTTATACATAAAATAAAATGTATGATCATCAATTAATACAAAAAAAATCGAATATAATTTTTTTAAAGTTAAAAGTACCATAAGACACTATAAGTCAGCTAGGACGTGAGGCTCACAGTTCTGCGCCGGAGGTTGGCAAGCCTGCAGGGGAGTGTGGCATTGTTGCCAGCGGTGGTGAGCACGCGGGTGGGCAGGCCGGGTAGGAAGGCTGGGCCACGTTTCGGTGTGGCGTGCAGTTGGGCCCACTTACTGCTGTCCCAGTCTGTCTCTTCCTTCCACTCTGACCCACCTGTAGTGGGTCATGCATTGTGATAGACAGGCTTGGCCAAACTACATGATTGTCATCAAATGTGCGTCCCGTGGCTCTCAAAGAGCGCAAGAGGGAATGTATATAAACATTTTCGGCAGAACATTTATTAGAAAAATTCCATTTTATATTGATCCTTTGATGAAATAGTCTATTGACTAAAGACGTAAATACTGGTGAAAGCTCGCTAACAACATACTGATAAAGGTCACACAGAATATTTCAATTTAATTTGTTAATAATTTAGCAGGTCCCACAGAATAATTCAATTTAATTTTTTAATAATTTAGCCTTAACTCACCAACCAAGGTGGCGGCAGTCAGCAGCAGCAGCAGCAGCTGCTGGGGAGTCATGGCAGAAACTGGAGAGAAATTTCCTCACGTTTCCCGCCTCTGCCGACGTCTAATTAGTGAATTTTTCTGTGAACTGCGGTTTTAATTCGTGCGTTTCAATGCCTGGTGAATTTCAGAGAATCCATGGCGCTAGACAAAGGATTTCAAGCGACTAGATCCCAGCGAACGTGCAAGAACGCTAGTGTAATATGATCAAGGTTTTGGACTAATTAGTGATTGTTATGAACCAAAAAATGCTGGTATAATTGATATTAATTAATAAATGATAATTGACTTCGTGCTGAGTAGTCTATAAAAGTAATTCACGTAAATTTTCGATTGAAATTTTCTCAGGGCGGAATGGAAATTTAGTTAAATTTGGGTAACTTGAATGTTCGCTGTGAATTGAATGGATCTTTGAAGATCTTTGAATGAAGCAACCATGTGCAAATGATGGATGCACTGTATGTACAAAATGCATTGTGGATGCGCTGTGTTGTATAAATGGATGCATAGCTATCATTTAAACAGAAACCATGTTATCTGTGCCATAGGTACAACATCGGTGCGCTTAACACCCATGTTAATTAAGCGCACCGATTACTCTGTGCACACGGGTACAGTAACTTATACCGGGTGTCCCAAAAAAACGATATTCAACTTTGAATGGCTGTAACTCGAAAGGTAATAGAGTTAAAAAAATTTGGAAAAGCAGGATTTGTTTCCTATGTTTTTCTCCATCTCTCCACCAAAAATGACAGATCGATGTAGCCATAAGCGTTTGATAGAACTTTCAGTGACATATGCTAAAATCGTGCTTGCGCAAAGTTTTAGTAAGATCATTTGCATACTCATTACGTTGTCTTGACATGTTTTATTTTCGCTGTTTTATTTTTTGTATCTTTGGTGAGACAAAAACATGGCAATCTTTGGTGAGAGGCAATCATGACAATCTTTGGCGAGAGACAATCATGACAATTTTTGGTGAGACACAATCATGGTAATCTTTGGCGAGAGACAATCATGGCAATCTTTGGTGAGACAAAAACATGGCAATCTTTGGTGAGAGATTGCCATGTTCTTTCATGTTTTTCTTCTTTCTTTCTTCTTTGTCGCGAGATTCTCTCACCAAAGATTGCCATGATTGTCTCTCACCAAAGATGCCATGATTGTCTCTCACCAAAGATTGTCATGATTACCTCTCACCAAAGATTGCCATGTTTTTGCCTCACCAAAGATTGCCATGATTGTCTCCCATCAAAGATTGTCATGATTGTCTCTTACCAAAGATTGTCATGATTGCCTCTCACCTAAGATTGCCATGTTTTAGTCTCACCAATGATACAAAAAATAGAACAGCGAAAAGAAAACATGTCAAGACAACGTAATGATTATGCAAAATGATCTTACTAAAACTTTGCGCAAGCACGATTTTAGCACATGTCTCTGAAAGTTCTATCAAACGCTTATGGCTACATCGATCTGTCTGATTTTTGGTGGAGAGACGGAGAAAAACATAGGGAACAAATCCTGACCTTCCAATTTTTTTAACTCTATTACTTTTTGAGTTACAGCCATTCAAAGTCGAATATATTTTTTTGGGGGGGATACCCGGTACATATACATTTACAGCACTCTGGTGTTTAGGTTGAGTGTTCGGTCAAGAAATAAGTTTTTATTCAGTTTAAAAACCATTGACATGTTTTTAAGATATAAATTAACCATGAGACATATAAGCAAGTAAAAGTAAAAGATTTTATTTGCAGTGGAATAAGTCTTTGAATATTATTATTTGTATTCAATGATGCAAAGCAAAAGACTTTATCCAATTTGCAGCCAAATACAAAAATAGGTTAGAAGTTCGGGAGAATAGTTTTTAGTAAGTTCAAAATAGAATATTCATATATATCAATATATATGAATATCAAGTTGAATTGAAAACTATTCCCAGCTCATAACCATCGCTAAATTATTACAAAAAGGGTCTTAGCCTTGAAAAATTTCCCTTTAGGGAATTTTTCTTTCTTTTTGAAAAAATTGTCTTTCCTTTTCTATTTCTTCTTAAAAAATTTTCCTTTATGAATTTTTCTCAGTGGTGCATAGTATAGGACATGAATTGATATTTAAAATTTTTGACAGTTGCAACAAAATTATTCTAAAGTTCAGCGCTGGAAGTCTGATTATAAGTTTAAAATTTTTGATGAAAAAAAAAACTTTACTTAACTGTTGATTAAAACTGTTGGTTGATGCTTACAAGAAGTTTGAGATTAAAGCTGATTTTTTCTGAGAACCTGAGAAATATTTTTCGTTAAATAAGGAAAACATCGGCCGGTGAAGACGCCGTAAACAAACTTTTCACACCCGGACAGATTGTGCGTCAAGTTCACGCCCGGATTAAAGGGAGAGGTTCACCGTAAAGCCTCTAAGGGTGAGAAGATAAAAAAGCAATTCCTTTAATATTAGCTAAAATTCCCTGGACCAGACTGTCTCTAGAATAATTTTTAGTTGACACTTTAGTCGTAGCTATTATTTCCACGGGGTCAATCAGAGTTTTCAATGATATTGAAAACCGTACATTAGATTGCTCAACTTGTCATCTTACCGTTTTTTTCTAATGATCATGAAATATATATGTATTTCGCGCTTAACATGATTGCAAATTCATTGTTGATATGCTGTCCTAATAAATTTCTATTGTAACAATAATTCTCTGATATTTTGCAGACGAACACTGTCTTAATTTAAACCCAAAATGAAATCTTGGGACTAAAATTACATACAAAATTATTGTAATCCATCAAGTTTATACGATTTTGTTTCTTATCGCGTTCGTAGGAAAACACGAATCACGTGTAATACCTGATTCGCACATCAATGAAAAGTTACGAGGTCCTTTACGATAATTTTATATAGCGTTAGGCTGAAGCAGCGCGACACCTCTCCTCATCCAGTAATGATTTATATAAAGACGACGTGAGACAACGGCTTACAAGCTGGGCATAAACTCAGATGGCCTCTTGGAACTGCCGTCATCCGGACTCTGACTCTGAACTCCGTGCCATTTCTATCATCCAGACTTTGACGCAGCCGTGTGTAAGTTGACACCCGTCGTATGGATTCTAACTCAGCTTGACTCCATGCAACTGCCGTCTTCGGGACTCTTATTTAGACATAGTCATGTTGCAGCAGTTGTCTGGACACTGATGCAGACGTGCTCTACACGAGTGCTGTCGTATGTCTATTATGCCGGGCTTCTCGTAGAAACATACTCCACGCAACAGCAATTGTTCCGACTCAGACTAAATCAAAATCCATTCGACTGCCGCAATTCCGTCTCAGGTTCGTCCGCATTCCATGAGACTGACGTGGATCCGACTCAGATCCAGCTGAAATCCATGCGACTGCCGCGGTTTCAGAATCCGATTCTCTCTTCAGCAAGTGGACTGCTGAAAGATAACCAAGACTGATTGATGTCTCCTATCATTCAGCTTACACGAATTACGCGAGTAAGCCGCTGTAAATCCGGCCTTTGAAAGACTTCTAACAACACTAATTATTGGCTGCTCCAAGACTTGCTGTTGTTTTAAGTAAAGCTATAGAAGTAATCATTGGTTTGATTGCTTCGCTGCAATATTCCGAGATTATATCTTTTATTCGTGTCGCATCGGGTTAATAAAACGTAAAAAATAATGGAAGGTTATCGATAATGAACTTTTGAACATATCATATTGAACTTTCAATGAATAAATTTATGCCATTTATCAATACCTGTGGACAAACTATTTTATCATGAAATGCATCGTTTAAACTTTGAATGAGTCATTCATCACTTCATCATCATCGCTCACACGTTAGTCGGAGTTATTCCCATCCTTTTCCCATCATTTAGTTTTGCCCCATAGGGAACTGAAACTTCAGTTGGAATAACAAGGAACAATTGTACACTTGCTCGTATCGAACGCAGCTCCCCGTAATTGGGGCCGTCTCATGTTATGTGTAAAATGAACCTAGGCCTATTATCGCTCCAATTTAGTACAGTGAAGGGCCGAACAAAGAGTCGGCAATTGAAGAGCTTCCTCCCAATAGCGTGCACGAAAAAGGGCGGCTGCAAGAACATATTCGTTATGGTTACCTGAAATTGTCTAGCCGATTTAGCGCCGAGAATTCGTCAACTATGGAATTTCACCAAGAAAAGAAAATTTAACGAGCGATGTTTGTGCTACCGACATGACTGGCAAAGGGTTTTTTTAGCGGAATATTCGGCGCCGCAATAGAAAGCGTTCATTCTCTTTCAAACTTATGGGCTGGATCGATTATACGATGTGTTCGGTTATTGATCGAATTAAAAAACAAACAAGCAATTCATCACGTAGTAATAAAAAATTACTTTAAGTATTTGGTTATCTAAATTTTAGATCCCAAATTGTTCTAGGCCATGAACGCTCAGTCTTTTAGAAAGAAAAATGTGCAGGCAATGTTGGCTTGCAACAAAAATGTTGGGCTTCGCTCATAAGAGATAATAGAAATTCGATTTAGGTGTATTATTAACCTTTTTATTTTCACTGCGTAGGCAAATTTAAGTTATAAGCCAATATAATTCTGATAGAAGAAAACAAAATTGCAGAAGACGAAGGGCTAACAACTTGAAGTTGTCTTCAAACCCCTCTTTGAAAAAATAAATTATCATCTAAAAATTAAATGATAATAATAATCATCAAATATATTGAAGGCTGTGACACAAAAACTAACATGAAAATTCTTTAACGGCTCTGAGTCGCGCAAATTGAATGAAAATATTATTTTTTACGGCAAGATTGTCCAACATAACCATGATTGGAGAAATATAAAGCAGGACGTAAGATAAAAATTACTTATGGCTTGGTGAGACGTTTCATTTAAATTTGATGTGAAGGCAATAAAATTTATACCACTAATATATTTGGAAATTTTAATATTTTAGAGACATTATTGCATCATAATTATGAGCGCGTTATGGAAATTTATTTTAGAAAAATAATTGCGTTAATGGTCCAAAGTAAGCACACCTCTGTTTTTATCAAGTCTAATATAATGAGAAATTCTATAATGTAATCAATTTCAGCTTCAAACGTTTTATATATTTTCCCCCTTATATTGGTGAAATGCAAACGAAAGGTTAAATCTACCCTAATCCAATCTAGTGTAAGCAAGTAATAATATTTTGACATAGATAAGAAGTCGAAATTGTCAAACAAGAATGCGCTCGGATGCAGCTCGCTC